TTTCACCTTACTCATAGAAAACAGGATCAAAGAAGAAATGATGGCTTTTCCCGAGAAGTTCTGACTCTGCATCACTGTAAAATAACCCAAGTTTTTGTTTTAGAAAAACTGATTGCAATTATCACACTGACATTAAGTTAGTATATTTGTTTTTATTGTTTTGATTGAATTTGCAGTTGTTATTAAATACAGCTGGACCTAAATACAGTTGGGCCTGGATTTTTTTTTTTTTTTCCAAATTTGCTGCGCTGTTAAGTAAGGGATAGGTGAGTAGAGTCGAAAATGTGCTCCAACCTGAGAACACCATTGTAAAAGTGCATGCAGCGTCTGGCTTGCATTCAGTACTGGGGTCTGCTGGGAAATCAGTTCCAAATTTTACCTGTACAATTAATCTGCTATGTACTGGTATTGAACACAGTATAGCAGCTGTCAGTGTTCGAATAAAAAACCCAAAACATGTTTTTAATGTTGAAAAGCTGTAACATAAAGCGAGTGTTACCTCGTTCTGTCTTTTTAGTCCCTGTTGGTTATAGTACTAGTGCTAAACACTGGATTTCCTTCCACCCCTTGGGCACTGAGAATACTAGAAGAGTTTCACAGAGGGTTTTCTGTACACCCCTGAGGGCTATATAGCAGGGAAAAAGAACAATAGATAAATCTGTCAGGCTGCTAGAAGAGCATCACGTGTGTAAAGTGAGCATACTCGTTAGAAAAATCAGAGCAGTTGCTACCACCACTGCAAATAATCCTGCTGCTACATCTCTAGGCTTGCTTTTAGGTAGGATGGGTGCCCTTTCAGAGGCAGATCCATGTGCTATTTTTTTTTAACCAAGAAGGGCAGCTAGAAGTTAACTGTACAAAACACCCCAAACCAACCCCAGAACCAACGGCGTGGTGACCGTTTGCAGCTATTGATAGGTGCCCACCACCTCTTACTCACAGCAACTGGGAGGAACGCTGAGCGTAGCAACCTGATGAGCGAGTCCAGGTTATTTCTTTTGCATTGCGAGTTGAGCCTTGACGCAGACATGAGCTTCTGATACAAACAAAAACGACTCGTGCTGCTGCTAGACAACTGTCCTAACAACCTACGGAAAGCTGATGGACTTACCTCGCTGTGGTGCCATGATTGGCAATTAAAAACTGTACCTGAGAGGTTGCAGATGGAGAAGGTGCAACCCTTGATGAGTCTCTCCTGTCCGAAGAGGTTTCCAACACCCAGGGGCTTTGACATTGCAGGTTTGACGGGGGTGCAGAGGGGCCCTTCCTTACCTGGTTTGAAGAGCCACCGGTCCTTGGCCACAGTTCAGGATCAGAATAGCAAAAATCAACTGTTGGAGGGCATTTTCTTTTTGATTTACACAGCCCAGGAAACGGAGTCAACTTTTCTTCTGTGACTGAATGTAAAGGATAATTAGTTGCAAATCGATGTGCTGATTTAATTAGCCTGATTTAAAATCAGCTCATTCTGTTTGTGGAGAAGGGTAGGGCTGTTTGCTGAGGTGTCACCTTAGCTGCTGCCCGGCTGTTTCAGAAGTCACTGCGAGGGAGCCAGACCACGGAGAGCCAACTGATGGGACAACGTCATTTTATTCTGTACATTTACATACAAAGTTCTTTTCAGTAGGTACAACAGATGTAACATCATGCAGACATTTAGCTTGTAAGACTGTTTTCAGTACTTGATTTAAGCTTGTGCTATGAGGAAGCACCACCAGACTATTCATGATCAAAACATACAGTAACACGATTCTTTAAAACTTCATCAGAAACTGACATGGGGAGGGAGGTCTCACCCACTAGACGCAACACACCATAGTCCTTTCCCGAAACATTTTACACGATACATTTAAAATGAGGTTTGTCATTTTATTTTTCTTTAAAAAAAAAAAAGTTACAGTGGAGGAGATCATCCCCCACTTTAAATAGTGTTGTCTTATGTGCCAGCTACAGGCGCAACTTGACTTGACATTCACAGAGTTCAGTTAATGGCACTTCTGCTTCCAATTTGGTGACCTTTAGTGTTTGGTTCCAGGAAGTGGCAACAGTTAAGTAAAATACTTCCATTTGAAAAAAAAACCCCAAAAGCCTGCTCAACGAAACCAAAAAAGCAAGTCACGCAACCCCCTTTCTGAGTGGCCACGAAACACTTGCAAACAGGCGACTGTGGTTGGCCGTTTGCAGCGTCTCTGGCAACGCAAGCTGTACTGAAACCTGAAACGGAGGAAAAAAACCCCCCAAGATCAAGCGTAACATCACTTTCACATTTTTGTTTAAACTCACAAAGATGGAAGAAAGCCCTTAAATGGTAAACCTGAAGACAAATCCACTGATGGGCTTAGAGGTTATTGAAGGTTCACTGACAAAGGCCAAAACGGGCAGGACGGCTTTGACCGCTTCCCCTGTTGCGATGGCCAGAAAGAGCCGCCTGAGAAAAGCCTTTCCCGGTGATGGCTGCGGAGGAGACACGGCCGAGGAGCCAAGGGTGCCGTGGACCGAGCGCCCCGTCCCGCCGCGGCACACGGCGGAGGTCGGTAAGTGTCTTGGCGTTTCCGTTCTGCCCGGCTGCATCCCCGGGTACCCGACTCCTCCGCACGAGATGCGCTTAGCAAAAGCTTTCCAATTCCGTGTGCGTGTGTGTGTGTGTGGGGAAAAATAAACCACAGAACTGGTCACCTTTTCAGGAAAAAGAGCGGAACTGGAGCTGCCAAGGCAGGACATCGGTTTGTGTTTTATTGCCGTGAGAGAGGCAGAGGGGCCAGACCAGCTGGAGAAGCTTGGGGCTCCCCACGTGGCAGAAGATCAGTACCGACTACCTGGTTTCAGGCAAAAAACCCCCAAAGCAGCAAATCATGTCAACTTCATAAGAGTTTTTTTAAAAAAAATCAATTTGCCTCTTATTTCTGTCACCTAGTTTGTTTATTATATAAACACGGATCTGTTTAAACAACCATTCCCTTCTCTGGGCCCATCTGTCATGGGAGAGCAACCACCGGAACGGGAAACGATGGAGCGCGGTGGCCGGCAGTGGTGAGCATGGCGGGACCCCAGCAGTGCTGGAAGCAGCTGGTTTAATTGGCTTGTGGATGGTCTACAAGACCCAAACCATAGCTTGAGCACGCACAC